TGTTGTATTGATGAATGTTAGCTATCTCTTAGTAATTATCCCTTAATGTCTTTTCAGATACACAAGTTAAAGGAAGACTTGGTGCAATGCACTGATCAAAAGAAATAATTGCCCTAAATTTCCTAGAAATATCTGCAAATACAGTAACATGATACCTGATCACTGATTAAATTAAGTAGTTTGCCCACCATAAGTTTGCAGTTTTTAACATATATGGTATGGTCTACATAGTCTCCCTTTCATATCTTGATGCTCCATTGGCAAAATGGAGAATGTCAAAAAAATAATTTCGGAAGTAACAAGAATACATGCACAAGTAAGGTAATTAACTACCTTTTCAGTCTGATAATACAACATGAGTCTTTCTTTGCCAACAAGATGTTAGGAGACCAAATCAATGGATTGATGATTATGATGAAGGCACTTTACAATATAGAAAGTTCCAAAACAATGCATTAATGCCCTTTCTATACAAATATTAGCAACATAAACTTACACATATATCACATACACTCGGCTTGAGTGCAATCGATGAATGTGTAGGCTGACTTACATTCTTTGGTTCTCACACCATATAGAGCACAATAAATTTTAAGTTAATGCTTAAATTTCTTTGAAAAGAAAACACAAACGAGATTGCCAGAAAGTTGACATGTATAACGATTAGCATCCTGCTTAATTTGTCTAGAATAGCACAATTTTAATACTGTCCAACACTGGTTCTTTGGGAATATTGAGATTTAGCGAGATAAGACAATGTCTGTGGCAAATAATCTTCAATGTACTGAACTTTGTACTGTTTTTCATAGTTATAACATAAGACAACGTAAATTGAAGAGCTTAGGCAAATTTAAATAAATATGGCAGTAAAAAGAAACTGTCACCCTAACTAAAAAAAAGAAACACTTTTATAATTAATGGCAAACACTTCAGTAGCATTACCCTGATGATAGTAAATTCTAATGACATCAAAGCCAACACTTAGCATAAGATAAAACAAAACAATATTGATAATACAAAGACGGGTTATTCAAAATTTTTAAGTTTCTTGAGTAAGTGTGATGACAAATTTCTTTGAGCAAGCAGATTAAACATAATCTCCTCCAAACCTTGAATTTTCTGCAAACACTTACGCATTAAACATTACCCCCCAAAACAGATCTGACAACTGTCGAAGTATTTTCATCAGCCTCACTTCTAGTGTCATTCCAAATAATTGTGTACAAACACAGTTCACACCCCAAGTGCATATCATAACACGTTTTTTAAAGGATTTCTCATTGTTTTCATATACTCCGAGGCACACAAAGAATATAAAAAGAAAAAAACCAAACTTATAACAATAACAAAACATAGACCTGTAAATGTAATTTAGATGTGCTATCAATTTGCAACACAAATAAAATGATTGTAACAGCAACAAGGCATTTCAATATCTAACACACAACACAAATTAATTTCACTTTTAAAAAATCTCGTTTGAAGCGATACAGCTTCAGTCAACCACAACACAAAAATTATTTTCATACGTATTCATTAACAACAAATAGTAAAAGAGCACAGAAACTCAGCTAATATAATAGCAATGAAAGATAAAATAAAAATAAAGGAATCTCCAGCAAATATATACAACAAAATAAAAATGAGATTTGGCAACTAAACCATAAAATTTAAATGCTCTGATTGTACACCACAAATCTTAAATTATCTAGCATGTATCATTATACATCTTATGGTTTCGCAAAATCTGGTAGCCTTTACGCACCCAGATAAAATGAGTAGTTTGAGCTTAGAGATTAAACTTTTTGAGCCATTAAAGGTATCTAATTCTCATAAATTCATACAAAAATAAAACTTTTCTTATACTACCTACAGTACATACCTAACTAGGTGAATCCATGCAACCCTGATCCTTGTGCAAATTCAGCATGGACAGTGACTAGGTAGAATATTAAAAATGAGAATTCGTTCTAAAATCTTACTTTAGATGATTATTGAACAACTTCTACGGAAACAAATCAGCACATACCCAAATTGTTCTCTGCTTTCAACAGAGAATCAAAGACAGCTGCACAGTTGTTTGAGAAAAAAAGTGTGATGGCATATCTTTACTACACTAAACATTCTGGTTATGATATTTTAGAGAAAAAACATTATACAAATAGGATGTTAGGTTTGGAGAGTTTCTTTTCTCTACTTGTGTAACCATTACTGCTGATGTTGTTATTAATAGGAGGATGAATATGTACATTTATGCTCTGATCTGCCCACCCATTTGTTAAAATATTTCCTGATCCATTTTGCTTAGGACCAGCAGCTCGCATAGTACTCACATTACCATTTGTGCTACGCTCAAGATAGTTCAGATTGTGGTGAGGTGAGCTAGGGAGACTAACATATCCCTTATGAGATTGAGGTTGTAAGTGTTGAGTCATAGGCAAAACTGTTTGCTTTTTCTCCTCCTGGCGTGCATCATATTTGGCCTGAAAAACAATAAAACAGCGTGCATATAGACCTATAGATAAAAAGAAGCCTCAATACAATTTTTAAAAAAAATGAAAAACATAAAGAACAAACCTTGTTGTACAGAAGAACTCCAAACACAGCCATCATCATACCAAGGACATTAACAGTGGTTACTGGGTTCCCAAGAATGAATAGTGAAATTCCAATGACAAACAGACGTTTTGATGCACTTGCAACTGCATAGGTCAGAGGTGAAACAAGTGACATGACACTGAATGCTAACACATTCTGAAGCCAATTCAGACCACCATCAGCCCAAAGAAGAATAAGAGTTCTATAGCTTCCATTCTTTATCTGTAGAAAAATAAAATCAGGGCATCCATTACATTAAATTATGGCCAGGAAATAAATTCAGCCCTAATAATAGTGAAAAATGATTTTTAACCACACATGTGCTTGTGCTTACAAGATTGGGATGACTCAGAACAGCAGCCAGATCAAAGTACAACCACAGAGGTAAAAACATACATAGAGCCAGTCTTCCAAGAATGTGAAGTAGACGTAAGTGATGCATTCCTGTATCATGGAGGACCTGGAGATAGAAAAGGAAATGATAAAGTACAATTTCCAGATATAAATGTCACAATGAGTTGGTTATGTGGCAAACCTTTTTAGAAAAAATATTTTGAAGAGAGAGTCCAAGAGTAGCAGTTAATGTGCTTATCAAACCAGCCATATCAAAGGATAATTCTGTCAGAGTTGCAATTGCTACACCAACAATGATGGGGGCAAGCGACAAATAAACCTACAACAGTAAAATTGATATCAGCCATAGATTGATAGTGGAATTCATGTTGTTGAATTCATCAAGACCATATTCTTACATACCTTGCCTGTCTGTTTCTCACCCATAATAATCCTTGACAAAATTACTGTGAAGAGTGGCATAGTGGCTTTGACTGGAACACATCAAAATAAATCAATCAGAAAACATGAATTTTCAGATTTGAACTGTGTTGGAGAATGGTAGAGAGGCACAGAATACTATATATTGAACGAGAACTTGTTTCAACTCACCTGTATGAGCATATGAGACGGTTACCTTCCACAGACTGACATGATTTAGTACTGAAGCCAAAAATTTACCAAGCGCTAGCGGTACAATGAGTTTGAAATAATAACGCCAACTTATATCTACAAATCGTCGGACCCCACAGAGTCTAAAGAAAGGTCCAGAGTAGAGTGATATAGAGGTTAGCTGCACCATGGTTACTGTCATTGGGAAGGGAAAATCATTCAGCAGCATTTTCCCAATAACATTATTGCTGCTACTGACAATGTACAAAAGTAGACATAAACCGAGGACGGACAATGTTTCCCTCGTTTGTTTGCTATCGACAGTCATGTTGGCATATGTTATGTCAAAGTTCCGTCAAAGTTCTTCTGCCAGCGATGGCGTTTAGAAAGTTAGTAACCAGCTACAGAGTAAATTTCAAGGTGTCGCACATAAGCAAGCCATTGTGATCAAAGTCCAAAAAACCCGTATTAAATGTTAAATCTTTTTCGTAACTGAAGTTGACCTAAATCAATAAAACCGGAAAACATTGCTTCAAGGTGGTCAAGTCAGCTGGGCTTTATGCTCTTGCCACTACGACATTTTCAACAACAACTGCAACAGCGAAACAACAAAAACTGTGCATGTGTTGTCAACGTACATAGCAAAAGTTATTTGTGATGCCTGGAATCTCTCTTCGTTGTTTTCAGCACAGATACTAAAGTTGTTGAAGATGACAATTATTTTGAGTTTTTAGGATAGTCTCTAACGGAAGACATTTGAAACAATGATTTGTTTGATTTATTTTTTCTGTCTGTTGCTTTTCATACCTGGGTCATGGTAATTTCCGTACCAACAGAACGATTATGAATTTAGTACTAAGATAGGCATCATGTAGTCTATTCCGAAAAACAACATATTGTGAATTGGTTGATGAGACGCTCAATACATTATAAACCACTTTTAAGAAAATCAACTGCATTGCAGGGACCTACTGACTGACTCTCGAAGCCTCAAAGATTGGCAACACAACGCCTGAGTCGTGCTGGTCGTGTTGCTACAGCGCGCCAAAATAACCTTTCTTACCGGTCGAATTACTTACTTGATTTCAAGTTTCAAAGAAAGTCAAATATTGGTGATTACTGGCCCCGCTGTTCCAGACTGACATACATGCAGAGGTCTCGGCTGGTCTGCTATTTCTGTTTCTGTCTTCGCTAAGTGTGGTATGTATGTTTTCCTGAAGATAATTCTTTGTCATGATATCACATACTCAATCAGCTGTTTTGGTGATAGGTGAATGTTTCTTTTATGTGTGTTTGGTTTGTTTGTGCTTTCAGCACACCCAATCACATCACTAACAACACTTCATCATTGTAATTTAAAAATCAAGAAATGAGACGAAGGTCGACTATTGCCCCTGTTAGAGAGGATGAAGTGCTGAGTAAGACTGACAATAATTTTCTACCTGAATTTAATTTCAAGAGTGTTGATCATGTTTTTCATTCTTCTATGTTTACTATAGGTTCTGCCCCAGCCTTAAAACCTTCTCGACATTCATTTGTGCCCCGCCAGCTCACCTTTGACAAGAATAAAACAGCGGGTTTGAAACAGGTGAAAGGGACTGGCAGTTTTAGAGGCAGCACTTCTAAACGTCTGAGTCGCATTGGCATATCAAATGAATCCGTGAATGATGCATCAATACTTGCTCAAACTATTTCAGAGGACGACAGCACTGTTGTTCACCCAAAGGTAAAATTCCTTTCTTGGTAGAGTAATACAACGTACTGTAATTCAATATTCTCAAGTAGTTTTTTGTAACTTTTTTATAGGCTGTGTTTTCAAATTTGCCACCTACTGCAGCTTGTTCAAGAGCCAACCAAGTTCCAAGTGATTTTAGTAGTACCTCAAGTTTCAGTCCAAAATCAAAGGAATCTCACATAACTTTAGAAGAGAATTCTACTATCACAAATAAAACAGTGAGTTGCAATTTAATAAAAAAAAAATTACTTTTCAATTTATAGGAAGGGGATTGAGATAAGGTAGAGCTGCGAGTTGGTGGCGGTGTCCTTCCGGTCATTATGCTTTGTTCCTATTTGTAATTTACTTTTGTTTGCTTTGTTAGGCCCTGTGTCCTGGAACGTCACAAAGTGCTTCCTCAGGAGCAAAGGCAGTGAACAGATTAAGGTCAATGGACAAGACTAAGCCGAGTACCATTGAAGCAAAAACTCAGAATTCAGTTACAAAGTTCAATACAAGTGAATCAAAAATTCCCAAACCAAAAATATTTTCTGCATCCAAACCATTGACTCCTGAGAGTCAATTTAATTCCACAGCTGCTTTTGAAGAAGTTGAAATTGCTGCATTAACATCTACACCTCACCCTGAACGATCAATTAGGAGGCCGCTTTTAATGTCTTCTAGTAATGATGAAGTGCAGTTGTTCCTCTCTGAACAAAGAAGTGTAATGCAAGCTATCAAGCTGACATTTCAAAAGATGAATTCTGTTTTGGATTCCCAACTACAGGTTAATTTAGAAACTGTTGGATTGTTGAAAGAAATCAGGAAGGGCCAATGTAATTTCCAATTCAATTCAATGCTAAATCCCACATCAAAGTCTACTGAAAATGCTGACTTTGGCGTTTCATGTTCTGAGAAGATATCCCTATGCCCCAATAATTTGGAATTTGAGAAGTTGTCTTTCAAAAAGCTGTCACCCTGCAAGGAGGACGACAAAGAAAATGTTGCATTATCTTTCAAACCTGATTCCTTGTACCGTGACATGAAATCACAGCTTGGTTGCTTAAAGACTCCTACTGTTCTAAGGAGAGCTAAACCCATGAGTGTGGAGACTCCTAATACTTACCTCTCCAACACTTTGCACCATCAACTGGAGAGCTTGTTTGAGGATAATGTTATTCAAGAATAATATGTTATGTTTTTTTTGCAAGATGTCTGTTTCTTTCTGATTTTTTTAAAATTTTTATTGTACTACAATTATGGTTCTTAGTAATAAAATTGTGATATTTTTTACAAAGTAATTTAGACTTTACTTGTTTTCATTTCAAAACGCTTGAAATGTAATTATACTCTTTCGGACGGTGTGGTGACGTGCGTGACGGACCACACGACGTCCTTGGTGTACTCGCCGGTGTGCGAGTCGCTGGGCGACACCTGGCCCGCGCCGCGTCTGAGCCCGTACTCGCGGCCCAGCAGGCGGGCGATGTTCTTCGGCACGGGCGAGATGAGCTTGCTGAGGCGGTCCACCTCGTCGCACTCCATGAAGAAGGCCCTGCGGTCCAGCTCCTCCTCGCTGAGCTGCTCGGGGGGCGGCGGGGGCGGCGGTTTGGGCTCCGGGGGCCGCGACCGGAACACGAGCCGGCGGTGGCCGCGCGGCGGAGGCGGCTCCAGCGCGCGCTCCATGCGGTGCACCAGCTGCTGCATCTGCTGCAACTGTGGGGGCAGGGACAGGGGTCTCAACGGGCTGCTCGAGCTCTCCAAAAGCTGCTCTATTCTATCGACAGGAATAGCTCAGTGGACGCACCTTGCGCTGCGCGTCGTTGGCGCTCTTCATTTGCCGGCGCTCCTCCATGTAGACGTGCTTGCGCGCGCGCTTGACGTGCTCCTGGTCCAGGTAGTCGAGGGCGAGCAGCTCGGCGGCCACGATGCGCTCCACGGCGCACATCATCTGGTAGGACGTGAGGTGCGAGTCGTTGGGCGCTACGCACCTCTCGTACACGTCCTCCACCCACACCCGCAGCGTGAGCACGTTCTCGCCACCCGAGCCCGTGAGGATGTCCTGGTCGATAGGACTCGTTGGCATAATCCGTCACATATTGCACATAAAGAAATCTGGAGCGAGCGGTACGTTTGCTTACCTTGTACACCTTCATGAGGATGACGTCGGCGTGCTTCTGGAGCTGCACGACCCTGTTCTCCTCCCAGGCGATCTCCTTCTCCAGGTCGGCCACCTGCTCCTGCAGCACGCTGAGCCCCCGCTCGACGCGCTCCTTGGCCTGCGCCACGCCGGCCTGCAGGGCCTCCAGCGGCAGCCGCAGCTGCTCGATGTGCACGAGCGAGGCCAGGCTCTGCGCGGCCAGCGAGCGGAACACCTTGACCAGCTGCTCGGGCTCCGTGAAGTACAGCGTGGGCTGGTGGCTCGTCTTGGTCTCCTCCAGGAACGTGTCGATGATGTCCTGCAGGGTGGTGGCCCGGTCCATCTGGTCGCGGCTCGGCAGGGACACCTGGGTGGCCTGGGTGCCCTGCGTCGCCTGCGTCAGCCCCGAGTGGCGCCTGTCCCCGGCCCCGGCGTGCGATGACGACGGCGCGCCCGAGCTGTCCCCGCTCACGTTGGTCTCGGAGGAGCCCTCCGCGGGGACGGAGCCGTTGAGGTGGTCGTGCTCCCGGCGCCACGACATGGGGCTCACGAGGTAGAGGAACTTCTGCAGGGCCCGGGCCTCCATCCACTTCTCCTCCAACTGGTACACCTGCGATGGGGGGAATGGAAATGCGTGCGTGGCGTTTTCGCAATAGTTCATACGCAACGCATAGACCCACAGCAAAAATTATGTCAAAAATTTGGAGGTGCCGGGGATTGAACCCGGGGCCTTTCACATGCAAAGCGAACGCTCTACCACTGAGCTACACCCCCGTCGTGACAGACGCCGTGGGGCCCTTAGTAATGCTTTCCCTTTATGTCGTCCCTTCGCAAGTGCCACCCGAAGCGGCTCCCCAGTTGCTCCGGGCTTCCCGATGATCCTCTCATCCTCCCGACGAGGAGGGTCCGCGGCCAGACCATTGACCTCGGCAGATTAGGTAATTGCCGGCTTACTGGCTCACTTTCAGCACAGTGTTTATTGGTCGGCATTTCTTACAAGAGGGGGTGTAGCTCAGTGGTAGAGCGTTCGCTTTGCATGTGAAAGGCCCCGGGTTCAATCCCCGGCACCTCCACACTTTTTGCTTTACATTTATTTTAAATGTCTTAACGCGAAATGCAAAAGTGTATTGCATCGGCCGGGAATCGAACCCGGGCCGCCCGCGTGGCAGGCGAGCATTCTACCACTGAACCACCGATGCTTCTGTAGAGGGGTGAACCAGACGCTCCAACAAGTTATACTCGTGTCGAGTATACGACGCGACCTTTGAGCATGCTTTGAGTAGCGACTCGGCCCGACGCGGCCCGGCGCGGCGGCCGCGGCCGCGGCTGCGTCTCGCGGCTAGGCCGGCGCGCGGCCTATCGTCTGAGGTCCGTACCCCTCCACACCCCCTTCCCCCTCCCCCCCTCAGAGTCCCTCGCCCTCGACGCCGGCGAGAAGAGTTCTGTCCTTATCGCTCATTGAACCCCAACATCCGCAAGCGCGTGCGTTCCACGGGTCAGACTTGGAATAAGTAAAAGTCACAAGTGTCGGTGGCAAAACGACAACAGCCCCCACAGTCAAACGGCACAAATTTCAGAGCTTAAGTTTTCCGAAAACATTCCACCCGATGGATAAATTGCCCACAGTGGTAAACAAGCAAAAAGTGTGGAGATGCCGGGGATCGAACCCGGGGCCTTTCACATGCAAAGCGAACGCTCTACCACTGAGCTACATCCCCTCCACGTCGACCGGGTCGACGCCCAGCTGTGACGAGCCGGCCACCGCTTCACCTTGAAGGAGGGAAGCTCTTCCCCTCCCCTCCCCCTCCACTTCCCGCCCCGCCCCACCGGCCCTCGTGCT